AGGCCTGAATCTGGCTAATCCAAAAAAGTAGCTGGTGGTGAGAGAGGGGAGCGCATTTTTTAAATGTAGACTCACGAGATCCTACCCGTGGATCTCTATTCAACAGTCTGGAAGGGGCCAGGAAACAATGTTTTTACAAAGTCCCCAAAGTCGAGGGATCTGAACTCCCTCTTCTGGGAAGCAGAGTAAGGAAGAGACTCTTGGAAACAGAAGAAATCGGGAGAATCCCAGTGACCTTGATGCTGTTAGAAGAGGGTCCTGTCACGGTGGGTGCTGTTGGCAGGGGATGCAGTGATTCTGCTGTGGGAGGAAGACCTCGATGGCTGAGTCATCCAGAGCAGAGTCATCGAGCGATGCTCCAGCTGGTGTCTGACGTTTGAAACACGAGCAGAAGCACTGGTCAGCGAGTTAACACCAGAGACCAGAGCACACCAGAGCCCCAGACACGGAGCAGATACAGCACCTTCTCCTTGTGAAGGGACAGTGGCCCAGCCACGGCATGGATGCAGCGAAATGGTCGCCGCCACGAGGGTCACTGAGGAGCCACTTGCTGTGTGACATCACGAGGGTCACCAAAGAGCCGCTTGTTGTGTGCTGAGACCTGGGCTGTGCCTTGTTCAGAGGCCCCCACGTATTGAAGTGTGGGAAGCGCTTGCCCCTTGGCATGTGGCAGGAACTTAGTCACTGCCAGCTCTGTGACTTATTTTACTCTGTGGCTTTGATTTTGACTTACTCTCTTAAGACCTTTTAGTACTTAAAATTAAAACCCACTAATTCAGGTTGTTTGTTTAAATTGCTGCTTTAAACTGAACTAAATTTTAAAAGGTCAGGTCAGTTTGAGGAGCTTGTCGGGCAGCACCATGATGATGCCTGGTTCACACTTCCCGTGTGAGAGTGTGCAGCAGCGTGTGGCTCTCTGATGATGCTTGGTTCACACTTCCATGTGAGAGCACGCAGTGGCGTGTAACTTTCTGATGATGCCTGGTTCACACTTCCCATGTGAGAGCGTGCAGTGGCATTTAAGTCTCTGATGATGCCTGGTTCACACTTCCCATGTGAGAGTGTGCAGCGGCATGTGGCTCTCTGATGATGTCTGGTCCCTGCTTCTGTGTGAGAGCATGTTGTAGCACGTAGCTCTCTGATGAGGGTTAATCCTGAAGCATTTCACACTCGGAGCCTTCCACTGAGAGCCTCCACAGCACGATGCTGGTCCCACATGATCTTCCACTGAGGGCCTCCACAGCACGATGCTGGTTCCCACATGATCTTCCACTGAGGGCCTCCACAGCACGATGCTGGTTCCCACATGATCTTCCACTGAGGGCCTCCACGGCATGATGCTGGTTCCCACATGATCTCCTGGCCACAGTGGGGCTGGTCCCCCGTGCTCTTCTGGTCACAGTGGGTCTGGTCCCCCATGCTCTCCTGGCCATGGTGGGGCTGATCCCCCATACTCTTCTGGTCACAGTGGGGCTGGTCCCCCATGCTCTCCTGGCCATGGTGGGGCTGGTCCCCCATGCTCTTCTGGTCACAGTGGGGCTGGTCCCCCATGCTCTCCTGGCCATGGTGGGGCTGGTCCCCCATGCTCTTCTGGTCACAGTGGGGCTGGTCCCCCATGCTCTCCTGGCCATGGTGGGGCTGGTCCCCTATGCTGTCCTGGCCACAGTAGGGCTGGTTCTCCATGCTCTCCAGGCCACGCGGGCTAGATTCCCACGTGCTCTCCAGGCCACGCGGGCTAGATTCCCACGTGCTCTCCAGGCCACGTGGGGTAGATTCCCACCCCGGGCAGGGTTGGCAGCACAGCACTTCTTATGTGTGTTCCACTGCAGCCAACAAGATCACCTTTGCAGTAACTGTTGGCCGTGCAGCCAGTGCCCTTTCTGGAAGTTCTGCTGCAGCACATTCCTGGCCTCTTGGGAGGCCCAGTGGAAAGTGCTCAGGTAGAAACAAGGACGCATTCCCTCCCCAACGGCCTTCAAGGATGCACCGTGCTGTGCTGCCGATTCAAGGTGGTAGTAATTCCCAAGAGTCACCACTGAGCTGGCCCCACCTGCGACCACACTTCAGCTGTGAGGGAAGTGAGCATTTCAGGACCAAGGAAACTGGGCACAGGAGTGCCCCACTTTGGGTGTGAACAGTGAGCTGTGCTGGCAGTATGGGGTCTGCTTGTACCCACTCAGTAGAACCAATTTTACTTTTTCAGGAAGTTTGTGAGCCCATTATTCAGGAAAGCCATTGTGAAACATTAAATGACAGAACATACACTTAAACAAACTGTTCAGAGCAGAGGCAATCAGTGCTCAAGCTCAACACTGCATCACTGGTGTCTGCATTTCACTGTCATCTGTGCCCTTGAGATTGTTTCTGTCCATCTTGTCCGTATGGTGGGAACTCCTCCCCACACACCTGTGACTCTGCTTCTGGTTGTTTCAGCCCCACCTCGCCCCATGTTGAAATTTGGTCCCCATGTTGGAGGCGCAGCCTGGTGGGAGGTGTTTGGATCGGGGCAGGGGCGGATCCCTCATGAATAGATTCATGCCCTCCCAGTTGGAGGTGAGCGAGGTCCTCCTCTCTTAGCTCAAGTGAGAGCTGATTGTTAATAGGAGCCTGGCCCTCCCTCCGCCCTCTCCTGCTTCCTCCCTCCCCACATGAGCTCTGCACGTGGCACAGCTCCCTTCACCTTCCACAGCAAGTGGAAGCAGCCATGGCCTTCCCAGATGCAGACACCCCCACCATGCTTCTTGTGCTGCCTGCAGAACTGTGAGCCAAATAAACCTCTTTTCCTTGTAAACTGCCCAGCCTCGGGGGGTTCCTTTATAGCAACACAAATGGACTAATACGGTGTCTTTCCCCGTCCCCTTCAGTAGTTTCATGTGAGCACTGAAGTCAACCGTGATGGGAACGTTTACACAGAGCAGAAATCACCCTGTGCCGTAGTTCACAATTGTGTTGTGCAGGAGACAGGCAGCCTGCACACCGTGAACTGTAAAAGGTGCAGGGCTGTCCTGAGGGTGGTGAGGGAGGGAGGGGGTGCCTCTAAGCACGTGGGGGGCCTGAGCTGCCTGGGAAGAGGACTGCATTTTCAGCAGACTGAGGAGCTCAGGGCATTCTGGCAGTGGACAGAGAACAGCTGAAGTATGCTGAAAAACCCAGTGTCTGGGCAGGCACAGCCACCTGGGCCTCAGGGCCAGGAAGGCAAGTTCTCCAGGCTTGCAGGGGACACCATTGAAAGGCTCTAAAGGGTCACTGGAGGGTCTGGATTTGCAGCCAGCGGTCTGGGTATTGAGGCCAAGGATGAACAGACTAGATTGAGTGCTTGTGACACCCTTGGCATGGTGTGGAAAATGGACTCGAGCTGGGCAGCCTCTGGCAACCACAGCCTACAGTTCAAATTGGGCCCACTGTCTGCTGTTGTAAATAAAGTTTTATAGGAACACAGCGACGACCATCCACTTAGGCGTGGCCTGCAGCTGCCTCCGCACGGCAAGGCAGGGCTGAGTAGCTGCAACAGAGCCGTGGCCCTGCCACGTCTGACTCAGTTGCTACCTGCCCGTGACAGGAAATGGTGGCTCCCCCACGGATTCCATTATTCTCACTACTGTTGGCTGGGCTGCTGTTTTCACTCCTGACGCTGACATCGGTGACTGCTCTGCAGCCATGACCGGGTGGTTCTATGGCTGCATTTGTTTTCACTTTCTGTTCCTCAACCTATTTAGAAGAGTCCACTATACCGACCGGAGGGAAGCTTGCCGCCAGCCAGACGTCTCCGCTGTTTGTGGGAGGATGTGGGCATCGATGACCTCATGCTCTCTGCTGCCATCCAAGGCTTCCGTCTGTGTCTTCCCCTCCCCCCCCCCGGGGTCCCACTCCAGCCCAAAGTGTGAAAGGAGTTTTGCTTTGGCCCAGAGTGTTTCCTGTCTGCTTGGTTCTCTCACCGCAGCAGGTAATTACTTATATGCAAAAAATAACGTGCATTTGTTCAAAGGGAAAAACTTTCCATAACACAATGGAAAGGCCCCCAAGGTGGGGAGGACAGGCAGTAACACGGCCTCATTCCCGTCCCTCCGAAAGGAATATTTTCATTACCCCAGATTAACACAGGTGTGCTACAATCAGGGATGAGTGTCATTGATATTTTCCTGCTGTCTCATCCTGTATTAATCACAATTGCAAGGCACTCTTCATTCATAGGGTTTGCGGCGACATTCTCTTTTTTCTGGTTTTCATCTCGAAAGTGACAAGGACCTTATGCAAAAGCACATTTCTACAGGATTGTCAGCCAAGGCCAACCGCCTGGTGACGCCCACTCTCTGTGGAGTGGGGCAGGTGGGCCTGCAGTGTCGGTGCTGGGATTACTGAGGTTTCATTTCCATCTGCTAATTGTTTCCAGGGCTCATTTCCCTTGCTCTGCCACCGAGCACAATTCATTCTCTGAAAGTCTTCCTCGTCCTATATCAGGAGAAATCCAGGATGAGGCTTTTATTGGCGCTAAATTATTATAGGATATTCCTGTCAGGGCATGAAGAGGAGGCACAGTAATAGCTGGCGGTGATAATGACAGAAACACACACATTCAGCTTTGCCTTCTAGGGAGTCTTTTTATCAACACCCAATGCTAGTTAATGAAACATTTCCCAATAATTCTACAGCAACGAACGATTGTGTGATTTTAAAATAAGCCTTTGCACCTTGCAGAGCAGGTCCACATGTTTCTCATCAGTGACTCAGAGTGGTCCTGTGGGCTCCTGGTGGGACATCCCTTTCTAGATGGAACCAAAGGCGCACTGTTGTGCTGGGCAGAGGTGGATCCACTGGTCAGTGGGAAAATGGGGCCTCGTACAGGTTCTAATTCCGTGTCTGTTCATGACACTTCCATTAAATGAAGTGGGTCAAGCAGTCATGTTGTTGAACCTTCCAACATGGAGGAAGATGCTCAGAGGTGCCTGGAGACCAATGGCCTCTCCAAGCTGACCCGTGTGCTTTCTGATTTTTCCTAACAGTTGACAACAAAGACAAACTGGAGGAAACCTCTGGACTGAAGATTCTTCAAACTGGAGTCGGGTCGGTGAGTAATGGGAGGCGCGCCCTCTGCTCTGCGACCCGCGGTGTCGTCTGGGTGCTGGCGAGCACCCTGAGAGCAGAGGCTGGACCTGCGGGTTAATTCAGCCAGGGTCCTGTTTCCTGGGAGGACCAGCAGGCTGTGGCAGGAGTGTCCTGCCGTGGCTGGGAACGGTGACGAAGTGTGCCTGTCGGGTTCGATGACATCTTAGGGTGCCTCTGAAGTCCAAGTTTGCTGTCCTCACAAGAAAAGGGGTGCGTGGCTGAGTACAGAGAAGCCTTGAGAAAACGCGGGCTTTCTTCCTCTTCAGCAGTTTCCTAGTTGCTAAGTGTGGGAAAATAGGCCTAGAGGAATTACTCTTTCCTCCTGGGATTCAGTGGGACAGACTTGTATCTTCAGTATTGGAAGACACGTATTTGGGAGAGGCAATACAAGACAGGGCATTCTTCCACAATGTCGTCTAAAATCTATGACATCCCATGCTGGCATCAGAGAGCTGCTCGGCCAGGCTCCTCCAGCAGCCAGAGCCGCAGGCGCCTCCCCACCCGCCGCCGCCGCCGTCCCCTCACATGATGACTTAATGAACTGCACACAGAACGCGGGCGCGCCTCCTCCCAGGAATGGCGTGTGGCCACTCGTGAGTCAGCGTGGGCCGAAACCAATCTGCGTGCTCGCGTGTGCGATTTCAGGTTTCGCAGCACTCGCCATTAGAGGTAATTAACTGTGAAGGAGCGCTTACTTGCGAAAGTGCTTGCCACGCAGCAGAGCTGCCCTCGCGGAGCCACTTCAGGACCGGCCGCTTCTGTGGGGACATCTCATCCTCACCAGGCCGAGACGTGGCTCTTGAAATAAGAAGCTGCTTAATTGGCCGTTCTTACCAAACAGAGGCCCTTGTGCTTCCTGTGCAGGGCCTGCTTGAGAATAGCCTGAAGGCTCTGAAAACGTCGGTGTCTGGGTTACACGATGGGTGGGGTGTGGGGAGAGCGCCAGTGCCTGGTGGAAACTCTCAGAAGCTGCGTGCGGGGTCCCGGCAGGTCCCAGTTACATGATGGGTGGGGTGCGGGGAGGTCGCCAGTGCCTGGTGGAAACTCTGAGAAGCTGCGTGCAGGGTCCCGGCAGGTCCCGGTTACATGATGGGTGGGGTGCGGGAGAGTGGCCAGGGCCTGGTGGAATCTCTGAGAAGCTGTGTGTGGGGTGCCGGCAGGTGCCCGAGTTTTTGGTGTTTCTTGATGCCTTTCTGGCTGGTGCTGGATTAATGAGGCGTTGGGCAGCTGGTGATGCCCTGGTCTTTCCTGGGAGTGTGCTGTGTCTTTAGCCACCAGTGAAGGGTGAGGAAGAAGCTAGAGTGGGTGGGGCTGCCGAGAGCCAGCTGCATCCCATGGAAGGTGCAGTGACCGACATGGAGGCCAGGGGGCTTTGAGGTGGGAGTCAGTGGAGGGCCGCTGTGACCTGGCTGCACATCTCCTCGTGTGGACGGAGGTGTGGTGTTCTCCTGTGGAGGGCGGCTGAGGCCTGGCCATGTGTCTCCTCGTGTGGAAGGAGGTGTGTGGTTCTCCTGCAGAGGGCAGCTGAGGCCTGGCCACGCATCTCTTCGTGTGGAAGGGGGTGTGGGGTTCTCCTGTGGAGGGCGGCTGAGGCCGGGCCACGTGTGGAAGGAGGTGTGGGGTTCTCCTGTGGAGGGTGTCTGAGGCCGGGCCACGTGTCTCCTGGTGTGGAAGGAGGTGTGGTGTTCTTCTGTGGAAGGCAGCTGAGGCCCAGCCACGTGTCTCCTCATGTGGAAGGAGGTGTGGTGTCCTCCTGCCTTTCGTCTCCCCTCTGAGCTCATCAAGTCAGGGGTGTTTTGGTGCCAAGTCATTCCTATAGGAAAGATAATGGTGTCCAGGAATTGGGGACAAATCTGGATTGACTCAGGTTAGAGCCATCTCTGTAGGCTGGTCAGAGCACGTGTTGAGGCTGGGGCCTTCTGCTGTCTGTGGAATATTTGGGGCCTGTGAGGAGCAGCTGTGGTGTGTGGGATGGTGGTCGTGTGGACATGAAGGAGGCTCTGCCCTGAGGGCCTGGAGAGGTGGGGGTGGGGTGGAGACTGGGAGACTCTGGGGTTCATGTGAGAGGTGACAAGTGTGGTGCCTGGCATGCACACACACCTTCCTCATGGAAACCTGGACTCCAGCTGTTCCAGGAGGACGTGATGACAGGTGGAGCCACTGACTGGGCAGCTCCATCTCAAGGGGTTTCTGTCATGTGCCTCGCTGCCCTTTGCCTGTTAAGCATGGGAAGTTCAGGTGCTACAGTGTATGTGCACCTGAGCCTGGGGGACAGCGCCTCCACGGTCACCCTGTCAGGACGGAGCTCCTTCCCACACTGGAGGAGCACAGGACCCGGACGCAGTGGCTTCAGCCTCCCAGCTGCGCACGCCCTCCGCTGGGCACCTGTGATGTCCAACACTGCCTGCTTGGATCGGGGGATCCGGGTTTTGTCCTGTGCTGTGCTCGGTGCTCCCCTTCGCTCAGACCCTGTCTCAGCTCTGCAGAGCTGCCACTCACCGTCTCCATCACAGCTGCCTCCCGCAGCCTCTGCAAACCCCAGGACTCTGCTTCCACTGCCGTCAATCATGTGTCATCACAGAACCCACACCATTGGGTGTGTGCAGGTTTCTGGGGTGGCAGAGTGCAGGCAAGTGAGCACCTGTAAACATTCACTGTCATTACCTCTGCTGCCCTAACTCCCACTCCTGTTACCACCACGGCCATGACTCCCACCCCCGTCACCACTGCAGCCCTGAGTCCCACTCCCATCACCACAGCGGCCCTGACCACCCCCGTCACCACCACCTCTGCCCTGACTCCCACTCCCGTCACCACCTCTGCCCTGACTCCCACCCCCATCACCACCGCGGCCCTGACTCCCACCCCCGTCACCACCACGGCCCTGACTCCCATCCCCATCACCACCGCGGCCCTGACTCCCACCCCCATTACCACCACCTCTGCCCTGACTCCCACTCCCATTACCACCATGGCCCTGACTCCCACCCCCATTACCGCCACCTCCGCCCTGACTCCCACTCCCGTTACCGCCACCTCCGCCCTGACTCCCACTCCCGTTACCGCCACCTCCGCCCTGACTCCCACTCCCGTTACCGCTGCTGCCCTGACTCCTCACTCTTGGTCCTGACTCCCCACTCCCGTTACCGCTGTGGTCCTGACTCCTCCACAGCACTTGGACTAGGCAGCTGTTGGACCATCTTGTTCATTCCCCCGTGTCTCCACACCCCTCCTCCCCCATCGTGCCTCACCCCTCCCTCACACGGTGTCACTCCTGAAATTGCCTCACACGTTCTCCCCCATGTCTAATCTGCTGTAAAACTCAAATGCCAGGGACTTTTCTTTTGGTTACTGTATTTTTCACTTAGAAAAGAATTTTTATTTGGTGATTTTTCAAATCTGTTCTGTTGTCTCCTACTTTGATGCATTCTTTTATCCTTTCAGTCGTTTTAAACCTACTTACCTTATGGTCTCGTTCACACCCTTCTGTGACTCCTGCTCATCACGCCTGCTGACGCTGCTGCAGGTCTGTCCTCTGACATGCTTTATGAAATCTTTCCTTAGAATCTCGAGCTTACCTTCTGCAGGGATTGAGTACACTGAAGCATGAGCTTCTATGTGACACTTTCTGGAGAAGAAGTTTCGCACTCGCGACCCTCAGAGTCCCAGTGGCTCCACTTTCGTGTCTTGCCCACCTGGAAGTTTCCGCCCCATTCAACAAACTGTGGACCTTGCTCTGGCACACGCACAGGTCTGCAGTTCAGCCCCCTGTCCACTTCCCCAGCTGGAGGATGGTCTGTACCTGGGCTCCATTCTTGAGGGAGGCAGGTCCTCGAGGTCCCAGCTTCATGTGGTGTCCCCACCTCCATCCACCCCACGGACACATGGGCTGACCTTGTGTGGCTGCAGGAACTCACACTGCAGCGCTCTGCTCCCTCATGCTTGGATCCACACGAAGGTTCCACGTGTCCAAGGGCCACTTCAGCGGCAGCTCCCAGCTGTGCGTGCGTGAGGGTCCCCGCTCTGCCTCAGCTTAGTGCAGTGCCTCATTCATTCATTCCAAGATAGTTACATGTGCCAGGCAGCTTTTAAGAACTAAAATTACAGCAGTGAAGAAAACAGACAAACTCCCTCCCATTATGGAGCTCCCATTGCGGGTGAAGCTGGAGGTGCATCGAGGAATGAGGTCCATTGTTTCCTCTGAGGCAAAGCCCGGCTGTCACCTGCACTGGTTTCTGTACTCATTGGGCAGCCCTCTCTATTCCCTTCAAGTCGACCAGCTCCTCTGTGAGCTGTACAGCTGGGACTTTCCAGGCCTGGGTCCCTCCTTTCTGCCCATGCGGAACTCACCCGGGCCCTGCATTTTTATGTTAACTATTTGATGATGACCCCAAGCTTAAGTCTCTACTGATGAACAGATGTGCCTGGCCAGGAACCTCCTGGGTCTCTCTCCTGGGAGATCTGTGGGGACTCACCCTTAATGGGGGCCACACGGGGCTCTTGATTTTCCTGCCAGAGCCGTTTCTCCCCCGAGGTTTTCTCATCTCTTGATGGAAATGGCATCGCTCTTCCTTGTGAAGCTCTGTCTAGAAAGTGGATTGATTCCACACGAGGAAATCTGAATTGCCGTGCAGATTACCTGTGAGGTGAACTGTTTAACTCTAGAAGGAATTGGCCTCTTCCTGCTCCTGATGCCCACCTGTCTCATGTGTGGGCAGGAAGGTTCTGCCTTCACTGTTGGGCTGATGGGCTTTTTTGGGGGGATTGTGGGGGCCGAGGGCAGGAGCAGGAGCTCACCTGTGTGGCACGACGCCTCTGCTTCCATCCATGTTTGACCTGTGTCCTCTCTGGCCCCTGAGTGAGCAAAGGATGGACCTTGCCATCCCCAGGGACAGAGGCTCCGCCATCCCTGGGACGGAAAATGACCAAACGCTAGAGCATTCATTTCACCCACCAGTTAGA